ATATCGATAATTAGCTGAACGTGGCTTCTCCTCTGGGATCATTCGTAAACAATGAACGTCTGAGGGAGAAAGCATTTGGAGTAACCATAGCAACAAGAAGGAGGAGTCTACAGTGTGCAGTGAAAACAGGAAGTGATAATAATAATAATAATGTTTTGTTGCTGGTTCCAGGACAAACACTGATCATGTGATTGATGATGCGGCTCCTCCTCACTGGGCGGTCCAGGCTGTCATCTCTCCCAGTACCAGGAGGGGGAGACAGACTGCAGGTTTAACTGTTGACATAGTAACTGACTCCTTGTGACTTCATGAATTCTCAGGGGAAAGTTCAGCGCCTCCTTCAGGAAGTTTTCAGGATCAACAACATGAACATCTGCCCACAGCAGAGTGTTGAAGTGCTGCCCCCTGCAGGCTGGGCCTGGCATTACAGTAAGAACAGGAAACAAAAACTACTTTGGTTTAGAAAACTTTATTGAACTTTACACAGAGCGGACCTCGAGTCTTCACATGAACCACAAGCAGCTCAGACTGAGGGATCATGGGAAATGTAGTGCGTCATAACAAATGAAAACAGAAAACACACGAGGTTGAACCAGCGTCTTTCAGTCGTGACAGACGACCTGTGGTTGGACAGTTTACTTCCTTTGTGATATCAAGCTGTTTCCATAGCAACAGAACAGCTGACTGCCTTTGGCTAAAAGCTTCATTATGTATTTTACATTTTTCAGCGTTACGATTGGCTGAGGGACATCCTCAGCTCCTCCTCCTTCAGACTGCGGTCCAATCGCTGCGTCTCAGACTCCAGGACTGATGGGATTGGACAGTGTGTGACGATGGCGAGCGAATCACTGAGGTCATGTCTTAGGGACAGCAGCCACTCGCTGTTTCTGGACGCCTGCTGGATAAACTCCGCCCTCTGCTGTTGATCCACAGCCAATGAGAGATGGAGCTGACTCACCTGAGGGGAGGAGACTGTCAGCATCACCATGACAACTAAGAGCATCTGAAACTCTTCTTCTTCTGCTCTCACCTGCTCCTCCAGCTCCATCACCCGACTCCGCAGACGCTCTTCTTCTGTGGTGTCTGTAGACTCCTGAACAAACACACAGAGGTTAACACACACACACACACACACACGCACACACACACACACACACACCTGAGATCTGCTGCTGACAATCAGCTGTTGTCTCAGCCTCGTTCGCTCGTCTTCCACCTGAAACACACAAACATCAAACACAACGTCTACCTGTCCCAGTGTGTGTGTGTGTGTGTGTGTGTGTGTGTGTGTGTGTGTGTACCTGTCTCAGTGTGTCTCTCAGTGTGTGTCTCTCTCTCTTCAATTTTTCTTTTGTATTTTCCAGATGTGAGTTTTTCTTGCTCAGTCGTTTTTGTTCGAGTTCGAGTTCAGCAACGAGACGCTGGAGGACAACGAGTCTGTCCCCCACACCCTGCAGACACACACACAGTCAGGTCCACAGGAACGAGGACGATAACTTGTCAACCAGTTAGAGACACTGACCTCTCCTGAGTTTGGTCTCTCCCCTGAGCTCTGCTCCTGTTGGTGGCTTCTCTCCTTGTAGTCAATCACAGCTGCCTCACTTCTCTCCAGAGCCAATCGGACTCGATCTCTGTCCTTCTCCAGCTCCTCTGTCCTCTGAGTGAGAGTGTCCACCTGAGGACAAGAAGACGACGTCATGACTTCATCATTCATACGAACAAGCTGGATCCTCATTGAGTGTTTTTAGCATGAACACACAAAACTTAGACCCCAACACATTCCAGAATCTGAAAATGTGTTTGGTGACTTCAAGTGCTGTGTGTGTGTGTGTGTGTGTGTGTATTATATATTAGCGAGGACACTCATTGGCATAAT